TAGACAATTAAGACAATACCCGACTAACTTGGAGCAATCCTAAGGAACAATCATTAATAAATTATTCTAATTCGGTTTGTAAAAATCGTTAAATGGAAAATATCTGATGCTACAGTAGGACAGCTAGCTAGCTAGACACTTAGGTACAGCTTAGTAACTTGTTAAAATGAATACCTAAGTTATCAAAATGAACATAATTAATACAATATTACCGAATAATTTAATAGTATAATATTCTTTGTATTTAAACATATACTTGCCTGGTCCATCGTAGATTTGGGGATTCCGATACTTTCCCACGAATCTAACCCCTTTGGTATTGCCAATGGTTTGATGAAGTTTACATTTTTTTCTTTGATTACAACGCCATTCCCGAATGCAGCATTGTGTAACATTTCCTTCACTCTTCGCATTAGTTGTGGCTCTTTTGATGAATAGAATATTAAATGAGCATTGTTAATTAGCGCCACGCATCTTAAAGTTGTACAAATATTTTTTTTTATCTCACTATCTGAAAACAACATTTCTATTTTAGCAAAGTATGGATATTATATTTAGCTTCCAAGTACGAAATTGGTTGACCACTTTAAGAAAGCGTATAGATATCAAAAATAATGTGCTTAGAGCTAAATAACAAATTCTTATTTCTCTCACCATAATTGTTGAATAAGTCATATTTTCCGCCTATCAATATTAAATCCTGCGAACTACTTTTCTCCACATACTGTTTTAAACAATTGACACAAGCTTCTGTTGTATTCCAAATAGTCTTGATTTTGCTTAAATCTAACATTACTATATAGTAGCTTTTATTTTGCAAAGGGACAGAGGTTAAAACGTTCTTCAATAGTTCCAGTTTACCGCCATACTCCCAAACATGACATATTATCTTCTCCAATCCTTGTTTTTGACCAGATTTTCTGCCGAATGAGTATTCTAGCACAAGTGTCTCTCGAGGTGCTTCATTTTTTTCGAGAAAGTTAGAAATAAGAGTTGTTTTACCCTAAAATGAAGTTTCAAAATAGCGATAATTAGAATTAGCAAGTTAATTTTTACATACAAAACCCAATTTATATTTTTGCATGCTGTCACCGGCAGCTCCGTCCGCGCGGAATTAAAAAAAAACATAACACAGAAATCCGTTCTGGAGATACATTTAAACAAACATACATCAATCCATCGAAACATTTGCAATTATAATATTAGTAAGATAGATTTGAAGTTGGTTGATTTTTGACTATGGGTAGCTGAGGACGACGAGATATGTGGTTTTCGTTGTACCAAATTAATAAAAATTAAAAAGGTTATTCTTATTTCCAAAATTGAAAAGAGATGTATTATACTATTTTTGTAATACAAGTGTTACGACGTGGACACTTCCAGTAAGATATGATTACTAAGTGCTTGATTAACTTTACTTACCGCTGATTTACTACCAACTGCAAATATAGTTCTCGAAGTATGTTCATTGGATTGTGCTATAATGTTGTTCACAATGTCGGTTGCTTTTTCTGGTAGAGTTTCCATTTTGTAATATTTGTGTGATTTACGACACAGTATTTGTCATATCGAGTACTGTTACACCGCTTTTGGATTTGTTTGTCACGCGTTACTAGGCAACAAATACTACCTACTACTAAACCCCTCTGTTCCATTCTCTTTGCTCTGTTCCCTCATAGCCATAATGTGGGACGCCACGGGATCGTGTTAACTTACCACCGCGACGCCCCACTGAAACCTACTACCCTATTGAAAAAAACACCCAGACTTAAATAGCATGGGTAATTGGGTGGTATTTTATAACTGACCTTCATAAGTGCACAGATTTGTTAGTCAATAACTCGGTCGTTATAAAGCATGCGTGGTGCGAGAGGTTTCTTGTTCACACATGTACTACTCGTATGCTGTTTCCTATGCGTTTAACTTCTTTATACTAGTCAACTGAGACCCCTCACGATGCTTGCTTTACATTGACCAATCGTTTTCATCAGTTGTTAGCCCGTATGCGTGGAGTCCACTATAAACGGCCGAGTTATCAACTAATGAAATTGCGCTCTAATACACTGAACAGGCTACAGGCAGTGGTATTTTTGGTCGATATTTGTGCAAACTATGCAATAACAACTTTCACCAAATGTGATCGTAAGTTGTAAATGTTATAATCTTTGGTTGTAAAGATCTTTAGGAATTTTAAATAAAAATTGCACTAATACTTGCAATGAGATCATCATTATATTAATTGCTTATAAATATATCACACATCAACTAACTTATTGACATTCAAAAACAAACTATTAACACATATTTTATATTTGATAACAAATTATTCAGTACACATAATTATGAAGCTTCACTGGAGTTTTAAGTGTTTAGACATGTTTTTCAGCACATAATGTAATGTAGCAAGCTCTTTATAATGTTGACTACTTATAAAACAGATTCTGCAAGTGGTTTATAAGTGTGTATCAGCTTTTGGATATTTCAGTTTTTCTTTAATGATTTGCAACAAGTTTAATTTCAGAGTTGAAACTTAGACAATGCCTATACACAGTTGAAAAAACTTATTTTTCACAGTTATTGATCTCAATTTCCTTCAACTGAATTTCATTGTTAAGTGTATGTAAAATATCTTGAAACCTTTGTTTCAAAGTCATATTTTGAAGACCTGAAATTTCAAGTTGTGTTCTATGTTTTCTCAGCTTAAGTTCTTCAAGCTCAGCTGTGAGTTGTTGGACCTTCACATTTTGGGTAGAACTATCATTAAAATCATGTTTGTACTGGTCCTTATAGCTACTGCTACCTGAAACCACTGTAGCGCTTTTTTTATTCATACCTGGCGTGACTATATTACTAGCCCTACTGGGGGAGCTAAACATTTCAGACTTGAATTGAGTTACCACTTGTCTTCCCTTGTATTCAGACCCTTGAACAGAATTTGAGTCAGACATCTGGTCTTCACAAGCTGACATTCTGCTGTCTTCTATATCAATATTATCATCTTCTGCATCACTGTCACTAACTGCCCCACCAAAAATATCTTCGACTTTGGACTGGTTATTTGAACTTTGTTCTGCTTTTACAATTAGATTTTTCTTTGTCTTTGGCTTAGTGGGCAATACACTTTCATTCCTTGCATTGTCATTTTCTTCTTTTATAACTTCCCATGTTACACTAACAGCTTCATTATCTGCTCTAAGAAGCCTTTTAACTTCCTTTTCTATTTCTGGAGCTTCTGCACATTTCTTTTTTAAAGTTTTTCTAAAACGTCTTCTTCTGATATTCTTTGTTGGAGGAGTAATACCATGTGGCCAAAGAAATTTTTTGTCAACTTTCAAAGGATCTTTTTTCTTATTTTTGCTGGGCAACTCTTCTTCACTTGTATGGTCAATTTCTTCTTTACATATCATCATTTGGCATATATCCGCAGTTTTGTAAACACTTTTTCTATCGATTGTTTTTAGTGATTCTGTTATAGTTGGCAAATCCACAACTTTGGCATGTAAAAGCCAATGATCAAATCGTACCTCCCCGTGCCTCATATCATTTTCTAGACTAATGGAAAGTCTATTTTTAAAATTCTCACCAGATTTTATCAATTCTTTCAATGATTTTGCAGGTTCTTCAGGAAATCTCATGATAAATTGACTCTCCAATTCAACTGGGTAGTCTGGGTCTTTTTTATCTTTATTCATTTTAGAATCTTATTTTTCCTTGTAACAAATAGAAAAATATTTCTTGATAAAAATAAAATTCTCGAATCTGATTTTTCTATGACAGTGCTACTAAGCGATATGATAGCTATATTGTTTGCCTGATTACTACTAAATTCTAATGTGTTTTCAAGTTTCTCTCGCTTATTGCTTGTCCCAGCTCACCTTTTTCGTAAACTTGGAATATTAGATCATATTGGAAATTAGATTATTGAATTGAATATATTGGACAGAACTGGACAGTTTCCTTGACAATGACATTGGCACAAAAATATGATATTGACTTAATCCACCAAAGACCACATAAGAGAAAAATCCACGGAGCGTTCTACTACAGATTGAAACCAATGTCTATGTAAATTGTATCAGGCCTTTTATCCTAGTTATGCTCAATATTATGCTTAATGTATAAAAATAATCAATAATTGACAATGATTTTTACTTATTAATATGTAAATATTTTAGTACTTCTACGGCCCACCGTTAATCACGAGCCACTAGATACAGGGCCTGGTAAAAAAAAAATCATTTGGCAACACTGATGTGGTGAATGACATGAATTTTGAATAAATATTTGTGTGCGACCGTTGATTGTAATTGAAAATTAGTGTTAACTACAAACTAAACATTTGAATTTATACTTAATTGCAAGTTAGATAAGCTATTGTTTAAACTGGAAAGAAATATCCGTAAATCGAAATTTACGAGATACTTGAGAAATTTAAAGTTGGAAAAGGATTCTATTTGTTTTGATCATAATGGAAAAACGTAAGTAATCAATATACCACCAGAAGATGAATATTATTAAAACACGGAGAGCTTTATTTTTATGCAATGTACATACGGACCACTATATTTATTTTCCTAAAAAAACAAACAAGTGTTTGGTGGTACTTATACTTTCATAATGTTCTCTACTTTGTATAATACTTTAGAGATACAATATCAATTTACAATTTAAGTACAATAAAATGTAGATAGCAATACACGAAGCAAAATACATGAATTTGCATTTAAAATATATAATGTATATTTTTAATACATAGGCATGTTTTAATTTACTGGTAAGTTTAAAAAGTTTTTACTTTAGAAATTGTTTTTGTGTTTCAGTTGTGACTGGACAAATAGCTTCCATGGATCAATTCGTTGATAATTGGAATGCATTTTTCCAAGATTTTCCCATTACTGTTGACACATTAAAAAATTCACACGGAATGACACAGGCTGTTCTTAAAGTTTTTAGTAAACTTGGTATTGACAGTGATGCTGTTTTGCAGGCAAGTTTTAAAAGTAGTGTAATAGTTAACTTCAACTTGCATGACCTAATTTAATTTATCTTCTTACAGCCCCCACCTGAAGAGAACCGTAATGAACACATGGTTTACTTCTGGGACTTAATACCTATAATCAACATGTCTCGCATAGTGAAATTTTTTATGCCTAAATTTGGAATTAAATTTACTTTTATTCAGTTTCTCCAACCAATTACAAAAAATACCTATAGCATTTTACTTATACTGTTCAATTTGGTACTGTTTTGTGAGCAACGCTTGGAAGAGATTGCCCCTGCTGAAAGAGAATTGTTCTTGCAGAGTGAAAAGGTAAAATTTTGACATTTTCTATGCTATATTTTATATTCATACATTGAATTAAGGTATTGACCATTATTATGTTTTAATTGTCTTCTATAGTGTGAGTTTTAGGGACTTTATTTAAAATCTTTCTTAGTTATTTCTCCATCTTTATTTGTTTTTGAAGTTTAAGAGAAAATTAAAAAAATAGTGATTGTATTTTATATTCCTCTGACTTTTTTCTCTATTTATGTGTCTAATTTATAACATAACTCTGTATTTCTCATGGTAATGTATAACAATGGACTAAATATATATATCAAGTTTTAGATGAAAATTTAGGAAAAAATGAATTATTAATCATGGATTTTTCTGAATTATGCGACTACTACTGTATTAGAAAAAAATATTTAATAATAAAAAATGTTTCAGGTAAAAATTTTGGAAGACAGAATAAACAAATTGCAAGTATTACTCAATGAACAGGCACATGAAAAAGCCAAGCGAGCTGAAAGACTAGAAATTGTAAGTTTAAAAATATACTATTGACCCTACTTTTAGTGTTTTTTAAGTTTGTAAGAGGTTTCTAATTTTAGTTAATATCAGGGATACTCGCAAATAATTTATTGAAATTTAAATTTACAGATAGCCAGTGAACAAAAAAAGCTCGAAGAAGAATTAAAGCATGAAAAAGAAGCGCATGATGTTATAAAAAAGGAATTGGAAATAATATTAAATGAAAACAAACAAATGGAAATTATTTTGGAACAAAAAAAGACACATAGGGATGGTCTGATTGCTGAAGTAGAAAAGTTAAGAGGTCAGAGAGTGTATGATGCGGAAGACATAAAAGCCCAGGTAGAGCAGGCGACACACAATGTGCAAGAGGCAGAAGATAAGTTGACCAGTTTGAGAGCAACTTTAATGCAGAAAGAAAACTGTCTTAAAAATTTACAAGCAATAAAACCAAATCTAACTCTCGCCAACAATTTGTTACATGAAATAATGAACCTCACTGATAGCTTGAAGTAAGTTATCTGCAGAATATTTATAATTCATTTACGTAAAGTTATTTTTATGCATATACCAATGAATTAAAAAAAAACACACTACTGTTTTAAAACGATACTGCTGAATATGTTAATTTAATTCTAATCTTTACAATAAAATGTACAATTTACAGAATACTGCATTACCAATCAACCAAGTTACAAGTGAATGTTATAATATTTTTAGAATTATCTGGATAGTAGTAAATCTAATTGCATAATTATCAATGTTTCAGCAACTATGATTCTGATGATTTAGATTCTGATAGTAAAGAAGGAGAGTTAAAAGTATTTAATACAGAATTAACAGAGCTGGAGACAAAGCTGGAAGAACTTAGAGCAGCCAGAGCAGAAGCGGCTAATAAGAGGCAAGAAAATCAAGTGAAAAGGCAACAGGAGAAAACAGCTGCACTGACGTAACTAACTTGAATAAGTCTTTAATACATATGAATTGAGAACATTACAACTGAACAGATATGAACTCACGATATACCTACTTTCATTGCTTTCAGAAATCTTCGCAAAGCAGAAGCAATGGAAAAGGAATACAGGGAGCAAGCTAAGAAAGCAAAGCAGCAGATAGAAGAAATTAAACAGCACACTATAAAATATGAAGCTGAGAAATCTGAAGGAATGGAAGAGCTTGCCAAATTAAAATACACCTTTACAAATGAGGTAAGGAACATTTTGTCCACATTTTACAAGCTAATAGAATATTCTTGGAATTTTTTTAACGGTTTTTTTCAATATTATCTATTTATTTCAGTTAAAATCAGTCGAAGATGCGATGATAAAAAAAATTATGGAAGCACAAAAGATGATCGAGGAGAGACTTCGTAATCATCGGTCTTAATACATATTAACTTTATCTAAAACTAGGAATACAGAAATTGCATGCGGTATTATTCTTTTTCTATATGGCAACAATCCTCATCTACTTTGAGTCTCACTAAACTAATGTCTTTTATTATGTTATGTTTATAATCAGTATTTCAGCTTTCAGAAAATTGTAATGCCTATATATATATAATTGTTTCGACATAATATGGCGAGATTTTGTATTTTTCTGGAAAGCCTCAGATTTATATTAAAAATATATGAATTCAAGATTGAATACTCTGATAGACATGAAACGTAAATAGTGAATTGATCTTATGCTGCTGTCAAAGCTCCACATAGTTTAAACAAATTATTATTTATAATTAATTGTAAGCTAATAAATAATAATAAATGTATGATACACTTAGTACTTATTTTTACAACAAACCTATAAAATAGAGTTACCACCTGATCGTTACCATCAGGGCCTTAACCAAGCCTTTAATGTCGGTATTCAAATAGGCACAAGAAGCCACGGCTTATAGCCTGTTCATGTCAACGCTTTTTATATACTCTTTGCTTTTACGACAAAATATATTTTCTCTTTAACCACTGCCCAACATATTACTACTCTTTACCCATTTTATACTCTTTGCCTTTGTTTCCTTCATATTGGTTTTGGTTGATTTGATTGCTAAAATTATACGAAGAAAAATAATTGTGTACTCTGAAATTCCATTGTGCACAAATGAGTTTTCTCTTTTCTTTTGATTTCTATTTCATATTTTGTGAAAAACCGTGTTCTTAAACGGGATTTATATCGTCATAGTCGTTATGGTTAATTGATTGTAAGTCTAAGGAGACATTGTTGACACCTTCGTTTTTTGTATTTCAACATTATTTTCATAAAGGTTTATAGACCTGTTAGAGAGTTAATAACTTATGTTGTAAGTTCCTTTAACTGTGTAAAAAATGATACTTTTACTTTAAGTACATCGTTAACATGTATATTTATGTTGCAAAAGAGAAAGGTGCATCATTCACTATTGTTGTAACCTAGATTTAATTTGAAAAAAAATCATTGTGCGCATTATTTTATGAATTGCCTTCATCACAATTTTTTCTACGAAAATAATATATACTCATTTAAAATAATTATTTTGATTTTATGTATTTAATTAATCATCTATTGTTTATGATCAAAACACGACATACTTGAAAAGATAACAAATAACAAATCTTGTCCATAACGTCCATAACATTGTACTTTTTAATTAATAATCACACTTCTTTTATAATCAGTATATTAAATAATATCTTCCTTCTCTTCTGTTTTATAGCAATTCTCATGTAAATGATAAATTTATTGACATACAACTTTTCAATAAAGTTTTTTATTTTCAGACAATTAGCAAGTTTCAAATTGTAAGAAGGTAAGATTCATCACAATTTTTGGTAATGTTTGTCCGGTATAAACTGCATAACAAATAATTCAGTCATGATAATTAGATCTAAAGGACTGGTGTATTTAACCAAAATTATGAATATATTCATAATGTTTGCTGTATTGATAATAAAAAAGTCAACTATTCACTAATGTCGCCAATATTTTCAAAGCTGAAGCATTGCACAACAATGTGCAATTTATAATTTTGTAACATATGTCCTTAATGTTATATAGTTGAGTTTATATCTACTAAATACCTATGTATGTAAATTTAACGTTTTCTAAATGTAACATACTACTAAATTTTATAATAATACTGACAATGCAAGAAATTGTAACAACTTACTCGTATTAACGGTTTAAAACAGTGTAGTTAATTATTTTTCAAGATGGCGGAAGTGGATCCAGAAACATTATTGGAATGGCTGCTCACTGGGCAAGGCGATGAAAGGGATATGCAGCTTATTGCATTAGAACAACTTTGTATGCTCTTGCTTATGTCAGATAATGTCGACAGATGCTTTGAAAGGTATAAAATCTTCCCTTTTTATGAACCCTTTAAGTCTGAAATATTTCAAAATGACCTTTATAAACCTTTTTAAAGACTAGCAACATACCATGGTTAGAAAGCTATAAAAGAAATTATATGTTTTTATTTTCAAGCTATTGTGATATGCTAAATTACCATATGACCATATTAGGAGTCTTTATAATAAAAACTACTTTTTTTATTTTATATATAAACTAACTATAAACTTTTAAAATTATATAATCATAATTATGCAAAATTATATACTTACAATGCAAATAGAAGATTTAACATATTTTTACCATATTGTTGCAGCTGTCCCCCTCGAACATTTCTCCCAGCTCTTTGCAAAATATTCCTAGATGAATGTGCACCAGATAATGTTTTAGAAGTAACAGCAAGAGCTATCACTTACTATCTGGATGTTTCTGGTAATTTGAATAAAACATTGCAACATATTCTTAGTTAAATGTGAAATTATACTAACATATAATTTTTTTTTATTATTGCAGCTGAATGTACAAGACGGATTGTAGCTATAGAAGGTGCTATCAAAGCTATTTGCAATAGACTACTCACTGTTGATCCAAATAATCGCACAAGTAAAGACCTTGCTGAACAATGTATCAAGGTAATTTTTTCAACACTTTAAAACATGCTTTTCATTGGACAGATTTTTTTTGCTGTTGTCTGTATATGATGAGATATAATTCATTTGTTTGATACTCTTATAGGTTTTGGAATTGGTGTGCACTCGAGAAGCAGGTGCAGTGTGGGAAGGGGGTGGCCTGCCAGCCGTGCTGCACTTTATCACACACTATGGCACATCTGTCCATAAAGATACTTTACATTCTGCTATGGCTGTAGTCTCAAGGTAATTTAAAAGTGTTTTTTTTTGTGTTTCAATCATTACTTTTTCTTTATCTTAAGGTCTTCTACTTCCTATTTTTTCCAACTGACAGGAATGTTTTTCAGGTTGTGGATATATTATATTTGTGGACTGACATATTCTGTCTAAATGGTTCGGCAAGCTTAGAAAACTACCATTGTTGATATTTTCTCTCAAGTGATAGGGGAAGTCACTTGGGCGTATTGATTTTTCAAGTTAATAATTGCATGCAATGCAATGCATCAATTTATATGACTTATGATTTTTTTAGGGTGTGTGGTAAAATGGAACCGGGTGACGAGCGCGTTGGCGACGCGGTGTCATCTCTGTCCGCACTGCTGCGGCACAGCGACGCGCGCGTAGCGGACGCTGCGCTGCGATGCTTCGCCTCGCTAGCTGACCGATTTGCGCGTGCACACGCTGATCCCGCACCTCTAGCTGAACATGGTCATTATATTTTTTTATTCATAACTAGCTATTGCCCGCACACACACACACACTATGTTCTACAACTATACTAAATTTCAGCGACATCCATCCAGCCGTTCCGGAGATACCTTCAAACAAAGATCCATCCATCTAAACATTCGCATTATTATATTCGTAAGACTACTTATCGATCTTGACGCCTCTTCTTCTTCTACTTGCTTGCTTTTTATTTAACTTACTAATAAGTTAAATAAAAAGCAGCTCTTCAAGTCATAAATTCGAAAAAATTAAAAAAAAAAGAATAAATAGTATCCTATGTCCGTCTCCATGCTCTAAGCTACCTCCTCACCAATTTTCAACCATATCGGTAAAGCCGCACTTGAGTTATAAATAGTGTAACTAACACGACTTTCTTTTATAAATATATAGATGTTTTTATGACTTGAATATTTAATGGAATGATTAATGGTTGTAATTTTGTAACTAAAAAATAACTTTGTGTTAAAACAGGGCTCATTGAGGAATTGGTGCGAAGGCTCGGTAGCACAGAGACGAGTGACGACAAATGCTTGGTGCCCTCTGTGTCCACCACGGTTAGCCTGTTGTCGACCTTGTGCCGTGGGTCCGCACAGATAACTCATGTATGTTACATTTTTATATTCACCACCGGTAAAAATTATTATTATATGATACATATAGAATGAGAAAAATGTGGGATAAATTTGTTTAGCATGTTATAAAAGTTTGATTGTCGCAGGACCTGGTGCGCTTGGACTTGTGTTCGGCGATAGAGGCAGCGGTGCAAGCGGACGAACGTTGGTGCTTGGAGTGCATGCGCCTTGTCGATCTGCTGCTTGTCCTCCTCTGTGAAGGCAGACATGCCATACAAACGTAAGTATTTCCTCACACGCTACGAAGATCAAGTAAAATCTGAAATTCATGTAACATTGATTTTTAAGATAATTATTCATTAGCAGTAGTAGCTGTCGCCCGGGACTTCGTCAGGGCAGAACAAAAAAACATAGACTAGTTTTTGTTTTCAAAGACAAAATATGTATAGGTTGATATTTATTTATTAAGTAGGTAAGGTAAACATTAAGAATGTGAAGTAATAATTATAATATTCCAGAGGGACAAGTCGCACTGTCAACTCAGTGACGGGGTCTAGCAGCGGCGCGAGCGGCGAGGGATCGAGTGGTAGCGGTAGTGGTGGCGGAGGTGGGGCGCGCGGGGACAAGTCGCACCGTCAGCTCATCGACTGCATCCGCGGCAAGGACACCGACGCCCTGCTCGCCGCAGTCTCCAGCGGTGCCGTCGACGTCAACTTCACTGATGACGTCGGACAGACTCTGCTCAACTGGGCCGCCGCTTTCGGCACCAGGGAAATGGTCGAGTTCCTCTGCGAGAAAGGTAACTAGAATCTAAATATTATACATTACAACATGTGATGCTATATAATGAAAAACAAAAATATTCTGGACGCGTATAAAAAAACACTATATAAATATGTAATCATTTAATTCAACTCAATTTTTTTAATAGCTAAAAAGTGTAACAACCGTTGTTACTTTATAAAGTAGTTCTTAAATTAATAAAAATGTTCGTGTATTCAGGTGCGGATGTAAATCGTGGTCAGCGCAGTTCGTCACTGCACTACGCGGCTTGCTTCGGCCGACCCGCCATAGCAAAGGTGCTGCTGCGGTACGGCGCCAATGCCGACTTGCGCGACGAGGACGGCAAGACGCCGCTAGACAAGGCCAGAGAGAGACACGATCAAGGTTTGAACACACCACTTATCACATACATAGAGATTTTTTTTCCATTTTTATTATTTGAAGCGTTTTCAATAGTTCATTACATGGTAGATTTTTATGAAAAACATTTTAAATATTTTGGTCAGGACACCGAGAGGTGGCGGCAATCCTACAGTG